TTGTATTTTATGGAGTTTTGCATTTTTATCAATAAACAACCAGATAGTATATATTTTCTGGCTGACTTTCTTTGGAGAACAAGATATGGACATTGCAGTTTGCAAACCTATCATGCTGGTGTACATTTTCCCTGGGCAAAGGGTTTCTGGGAGCACTGCTGTACTCTGTTCAACAAGAAGAAAAGAATTATTTCTATTGCTTCTTGTGTTACTGTGATTACTACAAAATGAGATTTTATTCCACATCATCATTGTTATCAAAATCTTTCCTGACATATTTTAAAAGCAAAATATTAAAATCATTGTTTTTCATTTTGCACCAAGCTGGAACTCATCAATTAGGAGACCAGCTCAAAATTCATAAAAGTCCCTTTCTTCTGATCACTCTGCCTACGGCATCTTGTATTTCCTTGTTCCTTATGCTATAGATCAGTGGGTTTAACATGGGAATCACCACTGTATACAACATGGAAAACATCTTGCCCTGGTCTGCTAAAAAGCTATTGCTGGGCCGTACGTATGTAAGGAAGAGGGTGCCATAGAAGATGGAAACAGCTGTGAGGTGGGTGGAACAGGTGGAAAAAGCCTTCCGCTGGCCCTCTGCAGATCGGATCCTCAGGATGGCAGAAAGAATATAGATATAGGAGATAATAACAAAACAGCTGCTGAGAGTGCCAAGAGTGCAGGACATGATAAATAACACTATCTTGTTGATTTGTGCCTCTGAGCAGGAGAGGGATATCACAACAGGGATATCACAGAAAAAGTGATTGATCTTGGACTTGCAGAAAGTTAATTGGAAAGTCATAACTGTATGTGTTGTGGCATTTAATATTCCAACAAAGCAAGGTCCAACTAATAGTTGCATACAGGCTTTCCTAGACATAATGACTCTATACAGTAGTGGGTTAGAAATGGCAACATACCGATCACATGCCATCGAAGCCAAGAGATAACATTCAAAACCCAGGAAGAAGCCAAAAAACCACATTTGTGCTGCACATCCCCTTAAGGAGATAGTTTTGCTTTCTATTACAAAATCCATCAACATCTTTGGGGTGACCACAGAAGAATAGCAAAGGTCAACTAATGACAGGTTACTAAGGAAGAAGTACATGGGGGTGTGAAGTCGTGAGTCCCTCTGGATTAACAGAAACATCCCAAGATTTCCCAGCAAGGTGATGAAATAAACTATCAGGAAGAATACGAAGAGCAAAATCTGTAACTCTGGAGAGCCAGCAAATCCAACAAGGATGAATTCATACACCAAGGTGTGATTTGCTTTTGCCATGTGTTCTTTTTCTGCGAAGAAAAGTAGAAAGTAAGTTCAGCTGCAAAATGTCACAAAAACTGACACTGAATGGAAGAGGACTGAAAAGGAGACAGACTGCATTCACCCTATAGCACACAGTGCTTTTTTTGCACAAAAGGGCCCCAATTTCAATCCTTAACTAAAAAGAAAAACTTTGTGTAACAAATGAAATTGATTATTTAAAAATCAGACATCACACATCACATACAATTTCAACAACAATACTACTAAACTTGCCACTTAACCTTTCCACATTACTTGATGTTGCAGTGATGGTTCTATTACTTGTTCATCTTTCCTT